AGGGCCCTGTTCAGGGACGTGTGATACATGTATACCATACATACATGTATACCATACATACAGGTAACATGTATGAAATACAGAACCACATAGATCGAAGGGAGAGACAGGTGACACCTCCTGGGCCCCGAGTGCAGAGGCTGATATACTGGAAAGGTTTATTTATACTCTCCTGCCTTGAGGATTTGTTTCATCAACAAACACATATTGGCAAGAAGCAAGGTCTAAGCTTAACTGCATCTTCAACCCCATTTCCTCTTTAACAAGACAAAATAAATACATTTCTGCTTTACAGTTAAGAGGAGTGATACTATTCTCCCCTATTGCTTTCCAAATGAAGCTCCTGAAAGCCCCTTTTGAAGCTTCCTGATGCATTTCCAGACCCGCTCCCGCTCTGTGCTCTGGAGAAATGGATTAAACGAGCCCTTTGAAGTGCTGCTGCTCATCAGGCGCTCTGGGGTGAGCTCAGCTCGGCTTTTTGTCGCGTCTGGAACGGGGACAGCAGCCAGCCCTCGCCTTCCGATTTCCCCCTCGTCCCCCAGATGCCGAGGGATGGGGCTGGGGCCATGGCACGCCCGAGGCTGCTGTGTTCCACCACTGCAGCCCTCGCCCCCCACCATGCCCCCACCCACAGCCGCCACGTCCCTCCGGCAGCGACGTGCAGCTCGAGGGTGAGAACTCGTGACTGGCACGAGCCCTCTGCCTCCCGCCAGGTCCCCGTCCCCGCTCACCGGCCGGGTGCCTGCAGCCGCACGCAGCCAGCAGCTGCCCGGGGGACCGACCCTGCCTTACTCATACAACAGACCCTTCACTCGGCGCTGCCACATTGCAAAGTCTTGCAAAGAATCTCCCAGGACCGAGCCTGGCACTCGACAGGCAAAATGGTGTCACGAGGCGGACGCTGCCACAGGCGTGAGCTCCCCTGCACGGGGAGCCCAACAGCCGGCATGGACCAAGCCACCCATGTCCCCTGGCAGCACAGTAACGGGCTAAAATCTGTCAAGCATTGCACAACAGGAAAGTTTTAATATTGAGAATATTCATCTCCAGCCTTTTCTAGTTAATGAAACAAAGCAAACTGTCGAGAAAAATGGCAACATTACAGTAAAAACAACAACAAATTAAATTCTAATGCAATTAGAGAGCAATTAGGGATCTATCCTCTGGGAGCATTTTGGAACTCTGGGTCTTTCTCAAAACCTGATCTCTCTGCAACTTTATTTCTTTCTAATTAATAAATGAGGAAGCAAATGGCATGGCTTCCCCCCGGCCCCAGGCCCCTGCAAAATGCCATCTCCGGCTCTGCGGGAGCAGAAGGTGGTGGCAGGTAGAGGCGTTCACACCTCCGAGCTGCGGGGAAATGCAGCTGTCAGCAGAACGAGGTGCAAAGGCAGGGAGAGCAGAATCACCGCCGGTGTCTGTTGCAAGGTGACCAGAAACACAAAGACCCAAACACTCTTGTGCAGGAGCCAGGCTGGGCAGGCACCAGCAGACAGCAGAGCACGAGCGACCCTGGAAAACCCTTTCCTCTCCTGTACACAGCTCCCACAAAAGCCACAGCACAGAAAAATATGTATTTAATTCCTCTTGACTTTTTAAACTTACCCACGTATATGGTATAGATAAGCACCCACTTAACCAAACTGCTCAAATACACTGCGGGAAGGGCAGGACACCGTGGGGCATCGGCCTCCGCCACGTCCTGGCAGGGCACGAGGAGCCTTCAGCAGCCCATGGCCTGCGCTCGCCTCTCCGCCATCCCAGCGAGCCGGGAAAGGAGCGTTGGGCACGTCCTTCCCTGCGGGGCTGGGGACATGGAGGGTCGAGCACAACAAAGTGCCCCAGAAATGGCAGAACTGAAACAAAGGGGTGAAGATGCACCGTCCCACTAAGCCTCTCCAGTCTCATCCACGAGCTGCCTGAAGGTCACAGCTGCAAAACCAACACGGCAAAGCCTGGCTCTGTTAAACCTTCCTTCAGGGGATGCAAACACAGTACATGCTCTCTGCAGAGGAGGAGATGGCACGGTGTGGAGGAAAGCCTTCCTCCTCATTTCCTGAAGCTGCTGCTATTCCTGGGGGCAGCCCTGTCTGCACTACACAACTCCAGTACTTCACAGCAAAGGGTGTTTTTCACACTTTGTAGGGAATAATAAAGCTTCCGTATGTCCCACTACCTGCCCAGCAGCTGTCAGGAAGACAACCCCTCCGTGTTCCGCCAAGGAAGGTACCTGTGCAAGGAGGGAGGTGGGAGCCTTGACCTTCATCTGTTTCTGTACCCAAATCCACCCTTGGGAACGTGAGCGGCCTCATTTTGGCTTGAAATTGGCCCAGTTCTGATCTCTCAAACCAGCTCTGGATCTCAAGTCACACCTCTTTCCTCGGGAGCTCAACCCAGACAAAGCGAGACACCCAGACCTGACTGTGCCTGGGCCACCCGGAGCAGCCCCGGCCTGGCTGGGCTCTCAGACCCTGCGGTGATTTCCGAGGGCCTTCTGGGAGCCCTCCTGACTCTGAAGAATATCTCACAATGAAAAAGGGTCAGTTAGAGGCTCACGGCTCTGAAGAAGATGCCGACTTTTGGTCAAAAGTTGCTTCTTGCAAAGGAATAATTCTCAAAACATCCCCACTATTACTGTCTACATTTGATTGCTGATGCGGGGGAGGAGGGCTGTTCATTGGTGTGCTTGGGGATTTTTCCTCACCTCAACAGCAAAACCCCGGCAGAGAGGGATGACACATCCACAGAGGGACCAGACTGGCCATCAGCATTCCCAGGTAAACCTATGGGCACGAAGAGGGGGAGCTCAGTGATGCAGTGCCATAAATCCCCCAGAGGGAGAGAGCTGGGCTGCTCACGGGGAGGAAGGTGCTAAGTCAGCAAGGATCAACTGGCTGCACCTATTCCTTTGCAAACTGGAAGCAGTAAATAAACCAGATCCAGGCAAATATCAGCAAAAGATCTCCATACACAGACAACAGCTTTTCAAGCAGGTCAGCAACGCTGTGACTAGCGAGGGGGGCCTGTCAGAGGTGTGGTGTGTGCTCTGCAGCACACCTGGGCACGTGGAAAGGCAGCAACACTCCACCTCCTCTGGGCTTTTCAGCACAGGAGAGGACAGAGCAGGGCAGAAAAGCCTGAGGGAAGAAGGCTGGACGCAGGACAAAAGTTAAGACAGTACAACTCGGAGCCAGGCAAAGTGGATTCTGAAACGTGCACACCCAAGTGGGCCAGGTACACACAGAAATGCGGCTGCAGCTGCTACGTACGGACAAGGATTATTTGGAGTGACTCGGAAGTGACTAAGAATCATCAGACAGAATCAACTGTGAGGGGTGGAAATCAATCCGAATTTTGGAACAGTCCCACGCCAGGATGTGTCCAGATCCCCAGGGAAGGGATGAAGGAGGTGCCAGAGCAGGTGCAGGGATGAGGACGTTTATAATCGACAGGTCTGCACTGCTCTGGGAGTGATACAGGACTCCTGCCCTCCTGCTTCTGATAAAATCAGGGGGAAAGACCCATTTTCACCTAGAAAGCTCCTCTGCTGCCCCCCCCTTCCTACAGTAGATGAGTCACTGTCTAGAACCTTTATCAAAATACCTCTTACAAAACTGTTTATCAGGTCCCTGCCATTCCCCGCCCCGCAGCACACTGCAAGGAGAAGGGGCAGGAGACGCCTCAGGTCACCGTCCCTTTCCTGGGGAGTGACAAGAGCCCCAAAGCTGAAACCCCCCTCTCCAGCAGCACCCCCTGCTCCCCAGGGCTCACCTCTGACATTCCAAAGCCGGCTGTTTGTGTTTTGCAGATGGATTGCACGTGCTCGTGCAAGAGCCAACAGCACAGTCTCACGCAGAAAATGCAGACTGGTGATTTTTAACTGTCTCCTCAAGGCTTCGCCCAACGCCGCACAGGCTAAGGTCACTTCAGCGTTGGCGGAGGGCGGAAGGAGCGTGCGGCCGCCTGAAGGGCAGCAATCGGAGCACGTTTAACCCCAGGCACTGAGGGGACACTGCCCAGCTCCGGCATCCCTGGCCGGTGGATACGGGTGGCCAGCACTTCAGACGCGCAGGGGTCAGTTACTAGAGACCTTCCAGGCAGCCCCAACCAGCGGCCGCCCCGCCCGTGCCGCACAAGGAAGAGCCTTTGCTGAGGCTCCCAGACCTACGGAGGACCCCGGCGCAACACGTGGGGCCAGGCAGCCCCACGGAGACACACGGAGAGACCCTCCCTCGCCGGGACGAGCGGCCGCGGCGACCGCGGGTGCTGCAGTGAGTCGGGTCGGGGCTGCCCGGGGACGGCAGCCCCGGCCCCCCGTGCTCAGCTGCCTCCCTGGAAACTGCTTTTGCTCTCTACACGCTGCTGACTTGGGAAGTTCTCCAAACTTCCCAAACAACAGAGAGAACAGGCTTGTTTTCCTGCATCTGCAGACATCCACGCTCACATCCCGCAGCCCCAGGGGCTCCCGTCCCCACGCCGGACAGCCCGGACACCTGCGCAGAGTCCGTTCAGCAGAAGCACCCCCAGTTCCCACTGACTGTCCAGCGGGGGGGCTGCCCCTCGGGGGACACTCACACCGAGAGGCCTGCCCGGCCATGGCCACGGCTCACGGGTGGATGCGATGCAGTGTTCAGCAAAACTCCACCGGCAAAATATTCCAACGCCTGGCATGGGGCTGGACCCCTCGCACAGCGTACGCTGGTCATCTCGGACCTCCCGCCATGGGTCTGGGGGTGGCACAGCCAGCACAAGCACCGGCTCCCCGGCAGCGGGGGCCAGGTCGGACCCCTGGTCTCGGGCTCCCCCTCCGCAGCAGCGCTTGCGGTACCAAAACCGCTCCGGCAGCCTCGCCACACCTGCCAGCGTAACCGATCCCCCCTCGCCGCTCTCCCACGGGCACCGTTATTAAACAGCTCCGATTCCCCAGTAAACTTTCCTCCAACTCTAATCAACAGATTCAAGCAACAAGCAACGCGCAAGCGGGTGGGGATGGTCGGTACCTTTGTGCCGCCGGCGGGGCTGAGGCACCGAGGGCAGCGGAGCTGCCCCAGCGATGCCGCCCCAGCGATGCCGCCCCAGCGATGCTGCCCGGGAAGGCGGACGCTGGACCTGCCAGCTCGGCTCTCCTCTCCCCGACCAGCTCTCCCAGCAGCCCAGGCCAACTGTGCTGGGAAGGCGCTGGGCGATGCTCGGCCGTCGCTCCAGCTCCACCCCTAGCAGCAGCGATTGGCTCCGCCGCGCTTCTGCAAGGCTGCACTGGTCCCAGCAGCCTCCCTCCGCACCCAGCTCCCACTACCAGCAAGAGCTTCCCCAGGACCGATTCCCACGGCCCGAGCCAGGCCCTGGTCTTGGGCAGCCTTGGCGGGTCAGGGAAGGCCAAGCTGCCCGACACAGCCTAGATCAGAGCACCTGAGGGGGACTTTGCTCACTGCGAAAAGAGAAGGATGTGCAAATCGGATCTGCAGGGCAGAGGCTGTGCAGGGTATCACAGGCTCCGGTGGGAATGTATTTACTTCCAGATTCACACTTTCGCAGATGACGCACTTATTTTAATACCCTGGATTTACAGAGCAAGCACGCCTTGCGCTGCAGGCACCCGCCGCCCTGCCCAGAGGGACAGCAGGAGACAACCCCCACCCCCACCCCCCCAGGGATGCAGGGCAGGAACAGCTTTCCCAGAGCAGGGGCCAGAGGGGAGCAGATACCGGGGAACAGGACGGGTTCACCTTCAGCCGCAGGGCAGTCCTGGCCCCCTTGGGCAGGACTGACGGGACACAGCAGCCAGCGAGCAGGTGCCCAAGGCCAGGGGCAGAGAGAGGAGGACAAGGCAATGAACAGGGGGAGGAGAAATGCAGAGCCTGCACACCTACGTGAGGAGGAGACAGTCCCTAATGCAGCACCATGCACACAGGAGTCTGTAACACACAGCCAGGCTTAAACCTAACCGATCTCCCCACTCTCAAATCCAGCAACAGCTCAATCTAGAGAGTGGACTTTCCTTATTTTGTGCACCATATCCTCCAGGCAAAGCCACTTCAGAGCTGAAACTGAAATCCCTGAAAACCAGGGTGTAGACGAGCACAACCCCAGACACGTTCCCTCTGCCAACGCAAAACTTCAGAGGCAATGTCATCTTACTGCCCTCCTTTCTGCTTGTAACGAAATAAGGAGGGCGAGGACCGGCGTGGCCCCGCAGAGGGTTTCTGTCCCAGCTTTGCTGAATTGGCAGACACCTCATTTGCCAGCACACGAGCCTTGCTACTCACAGGTTGGGTAAGAAATGGGGACATGATGGAGCAGAGAGAGGTTGTGCTCCGAGCCTTGCGAGATGGCATTTCCAGCCTGCGATGCATATGCAAACAAGAAGAAAGGCAGTTAACCTGGCTCTGCTCTGCCTCCCTCTGTTCCCAGAGCTCTCTCAGCAGGGACCAGGGTGCTGGGTCTCTGCAGGGGGGAAGATGTCTCAGAGATCTTTGCAGCTCAAGGCAATAGGGGCTACACCCTGGCGGAACTGGGGGAGGCTCCCCTCTCATTCCAAGATGCGGGGAGGCCCCTTTACGTCCTCATTTCCAAAGCCAGGTAAAACCAAGCACACCTCATTCCCCTTCTGAGCATTTGGCTCAAAGCCATTACAGGCCTCCTCCTTTCCTCACAAAAGCACTCTCTGTCTAGGTATCACCTTGCCAAAAACTGATAAAAATGCTCCATCTTCAGCAATTCAGATACTGCGCACCCAGCAGAGCGCAGCACACCCTGGCCAGCACCCTGGGCAAGGCCACCTGCGGCTGGTGGCCACCAAGGGGGTGTCTGCAGTACCTTTAAGAAATGAGTTTATGTAGTTTGATTTGTTTCTGTTAAACATACTTTGCAGACAGTCTCAGGGATTTTGTTTGTGCAAAGTAGCTGGCTGAGCCACACTGCTGCACTTTTGCTACCAGGTATCTGGAGCCTCATCTTGGAATGAAATGGACTTTAAATCACCCTCTATCACACAAACATTAGAAAGAGAAAAGACTTCAGCAATTCTTCCATTTCCCGCTTAATCTGCTTGACAGCAGTTTTACAGACTATCTGAGCTGTGATGCTTCATGATCCTGCTTGCTTCTTTAGCTGTAAAAAAAAAAAAAAAAAAAATAAAAAACCAAAACCTGCTAAGGAGTATTTAAGCCATTCATCTAAGCCTCCAAAATTGACACAAACTCCTTAGAGCTGCCACCTGGAGCCTCAGATACTTCAGTGCTAAGAAGAGCAGATCAGACAATATTTGCAATGATGCAGCTGCCATCCAGGGAGGAGATATTTCTTAAATCTCTTCCTTGCTTATTTTTGTAGGATTATATAATTCTCAGGAGCATCCCATGCTCCCTTGTAATGGCAGTATCAGCACAAGAAATGTTGGAAATAACTTAAAAATTAATAAATCCTTTCAAGTTTTCCAAGGTGCACCCTCGCACCACCTAGCACAGCCTTCCCTTGCTTTGACCTGCGGCTCCAACCCCGGGAGCCCTCGGGGACATGCCTGTTCCCAGACGCCTAAAGAGACACCGCGGTGCCCGCGCACCGCTGCTGGAACAAGCTCCGTGCCAGCGTCCGGCGGCAGGTCGGGGACACTCAGCTGCCCTGTCGACACGGCTGCGGGGCCAGACCACCCCGTCACCCCACAACTGGGCCGCTGGGGAAACCCCAGATCCGGAGGCCGAGCTCTGCGCCCTCAGCACAGAAACGAATGGAGAGAACCAAATGCCAGCAGCTGAGGCTGCTCTCACCCCGTGGGACCAGGAACCTTCCCTCCCCCTGGGGCTGCGAAGCCCCAGAAGCTCCCCAAGGTCTCCCCCCAGGAGCCTGGCAGCGTCATGGGCTCAGCCATCGCAGCTCCAGGGGCCCACACAGGGCTCCCTGGACAAAAACGTCTCTGAGCAGAACTCTCTTTTGCAGGAAATGACGAGAATGAGTAATTCGTTACTGCCCTCCTTTGTGCCAGATAAACAAGGTGCCCCACAGCTCTCCCCAATAGACTTGAGCAGCCTGGGCTTTGAACAAAGTGCAACACTGGAAAATTCAGCTTTTGCTCCATCCCAGCACCCCGCCAGCGTGCTGGAATGTGTTTACAGGCCCTGAGCTGGGTTATACTTTGGAACAACCTGAAACGCATCAAAACATGGAGCTGTAAAGCACCAGCTGTGATTGATTAATCACAGTAGTGAAGCTGAAGGGCTTGATCATTTTCAAAAGCTCCTTAACGTATCTTATTCTCCAAAGAAGGAGAGGTTACTGCAGCCACGGAACAAAGCAGGGCACAAACTGGAGCTGCTTCCTCCTGGGAAAGGCTCTGGGCAGGCTGCGCTGCCCCGCACGGTGCCTCTGGGAAGCAGGAGATGGAGACAGATGAGCGAACTCACCGAGCTGCTGCCGGCTGGGATGGCAACAGCCTGGCCACCCTCTCGGGCTGGGCTCCTCAGGGGTTACCGCACCCCCTGCCTGAGCCCGGGCTGGCAGCAAGCCCTCAGCCCCGAGCCTGAGGACACAGCATCGCACGAGCCAGCAAGGGCACCTTCCCCCCTCGGAGCAGCCTGGCCAGGCCAGGGCCAGCCCGTGCCCACTGATGGGCACCATCTGGGAGAAATCTTCGCTCTCGTACAGGAGCACCACATCTCCTCGCTGCCAGCGGGCTGCCCATGACCGGAGCACACACAGACCCTGCGCAAAGTCCCCCCCAAAGCGCATCGGTTACTGGAGAGGGAGGCACAGACCTTCCTCCGCCTGCAGCCCAGTGGGAAGCGAGTTTCCCATCCAACCTCCTGGCCCAGAGGAAGTTTACCCTTCCTCTCACACACATTACAGCTGTGAAATATTTCCAGATTCCTTTATTTTTATGGGAATGCTACATTTTTTCCCTTCCAAAAAGAAAAAAGCCATTTCTCCCTAATCTGACTCTGGTGGGCAGTCACACTGATTGATGTGCCTCTGCCACCAGCCCTGCTGCCTCCCAAAGCCCAAGCCAAGAGCTGACCACAGCAAGCACAGGGCACAGCCACCATTGCCCCACAGGGCTGTTCAGCAAAATACTTTTCAACTACCAATTAAATACAGAACTGTTACCTGGCCAGCAATTAATTGGCATGAGCGTCAGGGTGCGTGGAGAGCCAAGCCCCAAACAGAGCGATGCACCTGCTGAATCGGGGCCCTGCTCTGCACAGACAGCAGCAAGGACAAACACACCTGCCCTGGTACCCGGAGGCTTTGGACTTGCATCCTTGCATTTGTCCCCGTGCTGGCAGCAGGAACGCCTCTTTCCTGGCATATTTCTCTCCACACCAGCGCACTCAAGACACAAGACCCACTCCCTCAAATCTTGAATGTTCTCACTAGCTTAGGCCTGTCGAATGTGGTGATGCTCGTCCAGCCTGGCATTTACACAGCATTTCATGCTTCCAGACTGGTGCAATTACCCGGAGTCGTGCAGCAACCTTTGCAGCGCTGCTGAGCTAAAGAGACGAACCACGCAAATGCGCGACAGGGAAGGGAGAGGTACGGCCTCGAGGCATCTGAATAAACCCCACAGCCTTCACCCTCCTCCTTGCCAGAGAAGCAGCCCCTTGCTCTTCAGACACCCCCAAGCAGCTCTGGCTCGGGGGAGTGGGGACGTGGGGCAGCCCCCGCGCAGGAGGGCGAGGGTGGCCCCAAGGCCCGTGCCGTGACACAAGGTGCCTTCTGCACCACCGCCAGCGCGCGTGGCCGGGCAGCCAGGACACTGCTCCTGGGCTGCTGCTGGCTTCTGACCTGCCTCAAACGGAAACCAGATTTTCCCCAACGCAACCCCGGGTCTGACTGTCTGCTACTGATCTACTGCGTTGCTGTGACATCCAGTTCCCGAGGCACTGCATTAGCTCAGTGAATAATTATAAAAGTCTCCAGAAATAAACAAGATCTTTGTCACAGCAGTAAGCACGTTGCTCTGCTTTGCTGCCCGGTAGAACACGCCATCGCTTTGGTTCTCCTTCATGCCCAGACCACACATTAGCGCTACGGCAAGTGTGGAAGTGCAACTTGTGGCACGATGTGGCCAGAGCATAAATGAGAACCAGGCCCTGCAGGACTATTGATCTGCCCTTGGTCTAAAAGCTTACTTTATCCCCCTTTCCCCAAGGGAGGAAAAAAAGAAACCCGCTGCCTTCAAAGCCATTTTCTTAATTAGCAGTCACTGCACAGGCCAAGGGGCACGGCAGAGGCACCAACTGAGTGGAAGGGAAATAAGCAAAGTGAAATTAGTACTTGGGTTTTTC